TTTGGCCTAGTAGTTTCTCAGCCAGGAGGAGGAGGAGGAGGAGGAGGAAGAGAGGAGGAGCTGCTGCTTCTTCTTTTTCTTCTTCTTTTCGCCGGGTAAGAGGAGGCAGAGCCCGCTGGGGTTTCTCTGGAGAGTCAGGAAGGAGCGTCCAGCTCTCCAAAGGGTGGCTGTCTGGACTGGACTAGAGAGACAAGCTCTCGCCTTCCTCCCCTCTTCGTTCTTTCTCTTTCTTCCTTTCCCTTGTTGTTGTTTGTGCCTTCAAGTCCTTTCCGACTTAAATGGCCACCCTAAGGCGGACCGGTTTTGGAGTTTTCTAGGCAAGCTTCATCAGAAGCCCTCTCCAGTTTCCAGTTTTGGAAATCCAGTTCCCCATTTGTTGCTGTGTGCCTTCGTGTCGTTTCCGACTTAAGGGCGACCCTCTCGGGGGGTTTTCTTGGCAAGATTTTTTTCAGAGGGGGTTTGCCGTGGTTTTCTGAGCCACTCTGTGAGGCTGAGAGAGTGTGGCTTGCCCAAGGTTCCCCCCGTGGGTTTCCATGGCCAAGTAGGGATAAGAAGTTTGGTCTCCAGAATCTCTGACCAAGGCTGAAACCACTATGGGGGGTTGCAGACTGCCAGAAATAGTGCAAATTGAGTCCACTTTTAGGGTTAGGGTTAGTGCTAGGGAATCATGGGAATTGTGTTTTTTTTCTGAGACCTTGAGCCTTCTCTGTCAGAGAGCTCTGGTGCCACAATAAAATACAGTTCCCATGATTCCCTAACCCTAAAAGTGGTCTCAATTTGCACTATTTCTGGCAGTCTGCAACCCCCCTATGCCAAGCCGCCTCTCTTCTCCTTTTAGGTCAACAGGTGCAGGTTTTTTGAGCCTTACTGAGGTCCTGTTGGGGAAAGCTTTTGCCTGTGGGATATTTTTGAGACCTGATTCAATCTCTGAACGCCAGTTGTTGTTGTTGTTGTGTGCCTTCATGTCGTTTCTGACTTATGACAACCCTTTGTTGACGTTGTGCCTGCCTCCCAAATCATTGGGGCCACCCTAAGA